ACCATCTTGGGAATAAGACGTTATTATACCTTGCGAATGTTTTTCGGAAAATTTGAACGTTTAGCGAAAAAACTGATAGTGGATTCGTACACTACAAGTATATGAGTATATTTTTGTGTAACATTCAAATCATTTTAAAATACCATTCATTGAAATAACGTCATCAAATTATTGGTGGGGACGATTAGCCAACTTTTGGTTAACGTTTAACCATCTACATGACATTTCCAATATACGTACAAAATTTGACAACAATTGGTGCAGCAGTTTAGGAGATTACGTGTATAATAAAAATGGACACAGATACCATACAGGCAGACAGACGGAAACGCAAGACCGCTTTTTTCATGTTGTAGGGGTCATGGACGTCGAGAAAACATAAAAGTGGGCATTCTTCCGATAGACTTGATTACAATACTTCTTTCGCTTACGCTCGGTAAGTAATAAAGAAGCATTTTCTATAACATTGTGCTTATATTTATTATTTAAATGGTAAATAAATAAACTCTGGGCTGATAAAAGATAAACAGGTTTCAATTTTTGAAAATAATACTATACGCTAATTTTTTACAGTATGAACACTGTTTGTCCCGAAATAATTTTATTACAAAATTTCAGTCAAAGGTTAACACTTCCCACATTTAACTAAATGTTGTATCCATTAAAAAGACACCTACGTGTACCCATTGAGCATTGTTTGGCATTATTTTACACAAAGGCTTCTGTTTCTTTGAAAATTCAGTTAAAAAGTTCATAATACTAATTAAAAATAAATTAAAAATCCATTAAACAATACCTAAGCTTTTGATCATTATTTACTAAATAATAGAAAATCGTATATTTCACTAAATTTGGTCTAAATGCCTGTTTTGTCAACGTTTCAACTTATATATTTAACATGAAAATGTTCTGTTTTTTTTTTATCTCTCGTTTGTCGTTCTTCTGACAATGTATCCTCGAAATTACTGGACTGATTACTGTGAAGTATAGTTTGGCTTTAAAACTGTCATATAGGTCAGTATAAAGTTAACTAAACTTTATCTGTTTATTCTTACCAAAAATTTGATAACGTCATCTCGAAATTTGACAGGCAGATTTGATACATTCTTATTTTAATAATATGTACATTAATTGTAATAAAAAAATTAAATTTGTGCAATGAAATTTTACTTTTTGTCTAGCAAATCACGCAGGAAATTTTTTGAAATTTTCTCATCTATATGTTTCTACTTCATAAAACGGGTCACTTATTATTGTATTAATACAACATTTTTAAAGAATGAAATATTTCTGCATAAATTTAAACATCCACAACTTATGTTATGAAAAATGTAATTGAATATAATTTGTTTGCTATCTTTTACTCTTATTAAAAACAACAGAAATTATTTATACAAAAATCTCTGGAATTTGGTGAATCCGTTTTTAATATTAAGTAATAGAATTTTTAATAAAGCTCAACGCATTAATTTTGTGTAGACAGTCTAATAATACCATTGATCTTTAACTTCTCAAAAAGTTTCATACATATCCTTCCCTACTATATTGACGACTACAATGCTACTCGTACAAGCGCTGCAATAAAATATGCGAATCCTTGAATGTAAATATGTAAGGTTAAAAAAGTACCACAAAAATCTACACACCTTGCTTAAGATAGGTTTACTTTTTCTCCACTTTTTTATTAAAATATTTTTACTTTTCAAAAAGATATCCAAAACCAAAGTGTGAAAGTATGAACCGTTATAAATTTTCAGATTTTTTTTTGAAAAACAGTTGAGTTAATTTTCATAAAGTTTTGGTAGTATGTTTCTCTGTATCTACCACAATTTGATTTGACTGATGATATTATCCAGAAAGAAAATGCTAGAGGCGAAGGTAATTTAGGACCAATAATTCTCCAAATATTTTGTAACATAATGTGAATAAACACAAAACAACACTTCAACACCTTTGTTTGTATTTTCGCGTCAGTTGACATTGTCAAAGGAATAGTTTGTTTTATCTTTATTGTACGAGAATAGCAAAATTCAAATAACGACTAATTACAAAGCAAATTAGTGAAGTTAATTCTTAATCAGACAAAAAAATCACAAAAGATAATGTCTTTATGCACGTCTCTCCCGAGAGTCGCTGTTCCAAATACAAAGCCACCAGTTCAATCGCTTCTATCTTATTAGAAGGATTCGAAAAAAGAAAAAAGAACTACTAACACTAATTAATGTCGTATCCCAGAAAGTAATCATTCAAAACATAACTAACAATCTCAACCCTACCTGAACTCTTAGCATTACTTTCTTAAATATTTCTAAACAGTCCTGAAATTGAAGCTTTTCTAAGTTTGGAATATTCGAAACGTGAAATAATAATTTAAAAAACATAACAACCCAACAAACCAATTAATTAATGTAATTTCGAAACATTTAGAGGGGTTCTTATGGTAACCAAAGGCAACATAACCATATTCAAAGTCAAGGTTGTTTATCTTGTAAATATCGATATTGACAATCTACTCAGCACGGTTTTATTTAACGAACTATCGCAATATTTACCGGTGTATAAAATAAAAGAGTCGGCATGGTTGGTGGTAAAAAGGTATAACAAAAGAGAAAGGACAAACTACCTAAAGGAGCACTCATTCCAGTCTGGGGATCTCACAGGACAGATCTTAAAACGGATTGAAATTGGCTGATATCGTTAATGGGCCTCTCGACCTTTTGATGGGGTGAAAATGTAGGCCTACGCCAACAAAATTATTGATCGTAAAAGACGGTACTAAAAAAGATTTTAAGGCATTAAAAGCAACGACTTTGGGTGTCCTGTCGACACTAGAAAATTGACAGTCGAAACGTGCTCTTTTTTCCATCCAAAGGCGCAAGGAGAAGACGCATATGCACTAAATTAAGGGATGATATGAGGAGCGTGTGCCAGGAATTCCCGTGAGTAAAATAGGAAATGCATTATTTAATCTGCAGAGGAACTTGTGGTGAGAGAAAGGTAAAGGGGGTAGATCTACATTCTAATAAATTCATCAATTTATTGCCAACCCTTCCGGTAATGTTTATAGAGAACACATCCTACTCACAATTGTCGAGTGATGTTTTTGTTTATTTTAAATTTGAAAATTCGATGGCATTAAAGGTGCACGGCCAAAACATAACGTGGGTTATTGTTCATCCCACAAACACAGCAAAAGCGCGACCCAAACGAAGTTATAATAAAAATAAAATTCATAGCTGCGCAAAGATATAAATTCCGACAGATTTTACGTCCCCTGAAAGGCATAAAAAGTCGATCGAACCTCACGTGACGTAATTAAAAATATGGAACACGTGCTACGTGTGGAAAACAGATTTTTCTTGCAAGCAGATGGAAAATTCAATTTGCAATTCAAAACATAGCGGACTTGATTAAAACTACTAATGAATATATTTATAGCCCTCTTATTAACTTTTTCTATAGCGAAATGTTTTTTAATTAGCCAGGAGCAACAAAGGAATGTTGTAAACTTAAATTAGTGGAAGTAGCTCTCTTGGCAATTGAAAGTTCTCCAAGCTACGATACATTACACGCATGCATTTCCACGGTAACGAGGTTCATTTGAAACTTCTGACGTTCAATAATGTTATTTGTGAAAAATAAACTTCTGCTTTATATCGAAATGTGCTACAATTTTTAATACTTCTAGTGCGTTCGATGCGTATATTACAGTAGCAAAATTTTCTTGTTTGAAAATATCCACAAACCAAACAAAATTTAAAATAGTTTGTGTTATCCTTATATCACACGAATAAGTTGATAGAGTACACTACACTGAATGTATAGCAGAAAAGGCAACTTTATTGTGGGTTAAAACGCTAATAGAAATTGCGTCATTTTTTGTGTTCATTTAAAACATGTTTTTTAACACTTTAAGTTTAGACAACTCGGTAAAAATTTCGGGCAATACATTAAATATATACATATTAATCTAGAAATAAAACTTACAGTGTATGTATATATAATTTAATTGCGCTGGTGCGTTGTGATTTGAAAAGCTGAAAATGAATAGTGTTCGTTTCATCCCAATGTCTGGAACTAAAGAGTTAGTTTTATCAAAGCTGAGCTTTCGAATTAGTACAGCAAACTCAAAATAATCTCGCTATTCCTCATCATTTAACCATCATGATTCATGATATTTTGTGACTGAACACGCATATACTTGCTATTCAGGATCCTTCTGGATACGGGAAATTTGGCAGATTTTTAGTTTAAAAACGGCTTTAAAAGTGAGGTTATAAATTCAGCCATTAATGTAACAAACGTGGAAGCTGCGTTGCTAGTTAGATTTCCTTTGCCGGATGGTATGGTAAACTTTGCTGTCAATGAATCTTTGTCCTTTGCTAGTTCATTTGATACACTCTGTTTAAAACCATTTATTCCTAGTATACGTACGTACAACATATCAAAAGCCTATGGGAGAACAAAGCAAATACCTAATTAGAATTTTTAGGATTAGTATTTTATGCAATTTCAAAAGGACACGTCAGATTTTACATTGGGGGATATTCTCTGGACACTCGTTGGAATATTTAACGTAAGTCCATTTCGCACGAAATATTTGTTATTTATATACAACTTTACAGGTCTACAGGTCAACTATCGTACAATTTTAGACCAATCCATTCAAAATTTAAATATAACATGCTTTGGCAAACACAGACTAATTTGGAAATACGACGGCAATAATGAATATTTCAGAAATTACTGACAAATTTGATCGGACGATGTTCACAAACATTTGGAATTTAAAGGCTTTTTAAAGTTATTGGGATATAAATAGACACAAAGAAGTCAACGGATGCAAAATTTTATGTGAACAGTAAAATTTCCTTTTTTAAGAAAATTTTTACAATTGCAAAATTTCAGTATTGTCTGCATATGTATTTTAACGAGACGTGAATGTATAGAATGGAACTTCCATTCGTCGTTGGGTACTGTTACGAATTGAAAATTCGCAGTAGCTATTTCGGTTTTTATTGGCATTCTCGGATCGGATTACATTTTGTTTACTCGTTTTTTTTCGTTTCGTCATTTCGTGCATGGGTGGTTGGGTTGGGCACGGTGGCAATGAAGGACAACTTTGGTGGAGGGTTCGTCCCGAGCTTTTGACTCCCCCAGTCGCAAGACTGTCGCGATGATTCTGAGCTTGGAGGGGCTCAGCTGAGTGTTTCAGCCTCGCTGTTTGTAGATCGGTCTTCTGGATCGTTTCAGCTTGGTTCTTGCTATAAGGAACTGGATGGATCGCGCCATCCCAGAGCTTCACTCTGAAATCCGATTTTCGTTCTGTTTGTTATTTTTGTTCGCGAATTTCATTTGCTTACCTAGGTGGGAACAAACGCCGTGGAGCGTCCCCTAGAGTCTTCGTCATTTCTGGAATCTTGATAACCTTGTTTGTTTTTTTTCTTTTGTTAATAACCATCGCATCCACTCATTAGTTACATCGATTAGGGATTTTCGTCGGAATTCAACGTTTCGTAAGTTTGCCACTAGAGGGCCAAACTTCCGTTAATTCTCGCTTCGTTACCTTGCCACGTCATCGCAGGTGGAAGGGAATCCATTTTGCTTTGGTACTTCGTGTTGAATGGTGTTGGGGGTTAGTGCTTTCCTCTTTTGCAGTTCGTTTTAGCAACCTTTTCTTTGGTGTTACGTTTGGAATCGCATTCGTCGGATCTGTTGGGTCCCCTAAAAGGTGCTATCGCTTGGAGCGCATTTGTGAGCTGTAAAAGATATAGTGCATTCGAGCACTACGACTTTGTCGGATTTTGGGTTAAGGGCACTCGACCATCCCGCTAACATCGGAGAAGCTGCAGTCGATCCGCAGGTAAATCTTTTGATTAGCTTTTCCCTGGCATCCCTTCGAACAGTGGTTATGGTTATTTTCATGTTAACGATAATATTTTACTACTTACCAAGTGCATGTGACATGTGGAACCCTTGGGGTTGACTGAGTTCGAACATCTTCTCAGACTTTGCTCTCCTTGCAGCTTTTTTGTTTTTGTCGCTGATCTTGTTATTCCCGTGATCGAGAATTGGAGCCAGTTTCGAGTGGGAGAACGAATTCTATGAATTCCAACTGTCGTGGGCAGTTGTGAGCCCTCCCAGAAAAGCTGGAGAATCACCAAAAACCTCGACTCGACATCGACTGGAACTTCGCTGCGACGCCGCTGTGTTTCGACATCTCGTCGTGGATATCGAAGGAGGCAGGTGCCCATGGTACTTCCATTCCATCGCATTAAGATTAAGTATTAGTCGCCTTACCTTTTCTTTATTGTATCGCAACACGTTTCGAAGTTCGGCGTAACTAGCACTCGCACATAACCTAGTAATAACAATCGGTAAGAGTGTGACGCTTCGCTCTACGTTAATACCTTCGTACGTACGTTAGGACTACCGAGCGTGTGGCCTACTTCGTTTATCTCATAGCCCTCGAAATAATTAATCAAATCGTTATTCGTTACGACTCCAACTAATTTGTTCGTTTCGTAAACATCGTTCGTATCGCTCGTATTTATCGTTAATTAGTTCATCGCCTTTCGTAATTAAACTATCGTTCGTATTGCTCGTATTTATCGTAAACCGTTAGTCGCATTAAATCGTTATCATTAATATCTCACTCATTTCCTTTTGCTTACTTAATTAGTTATTTATCACTCTTATTTTATTTTTAATTAGTGACCTTAGGTTTTATTGTAACCAATAATTTAAGTAACAGCTTGCAATTACAATAGTTAAATATTTTTCCCGTTTTTTGTTGTTGTAATTGTGTCTTAATAAAAACTGGTGGCGCCCTGGCGACGTCGCTACACAAAACAGTGTGCTCTCTCTTCTTTGCGAACCTCTAGCGACCTGACCCTTTGCACCCGCAGGAACTCACCCCTTCTCCACTAGCAGGCCGGCAACGAGCTGTGAGTTTGGCTCGTAACAGTACATGGAACCAATTTCAAAAGTAACCCAATCAAAATTACCAGTGAAGTTTCAAGAATGGTAATTCTTAGGAAAAAAAGTGTAAGGATCATTTTTGTGGATAATTTTATGATCTAAAATTTTTGTCTGGGTTATATTTTTGATAAAACTTACTACTATCGAGAAAAAAAAAATGACATTTGACCTTGAATAACTTTTTTAGCACACATGGGATCTATGAGAACTTTTGCGTCTTTATTACTTCCCGAGCGTAAGCAAAGGAAGTATTCTAACCGAGTCCGTCGGCCGACTCTCTACTTTTACGTTTTCTCGATCTTTCATGACCCCTAGAAGACGAAGAAATAGGTCTCCCATTTCCGTCTGTCTGTCCGTCTGTCCGTCCGTCTGTCCGTCCGTCTGTCCGTCCGTCTGTCCGTCCGTCTGTCCGTCTGTCCGTCTGCCGTCCCGGATTTTTATTAGACAGATAATCTCCGAAAGTACTCGACCGATTGTTGTGAAATTTTGTACTTATATTAAGAAAATCATGTAGATGGTAAAACGCTAACCAAAATTTGTCTAATCATCCCCACCACTAATGCGATGACGTCACTTCAAAATTGTACATAGTAAATGGGTTTTCAATTATATAATATAACATAGTCCTACACATGTAGTTTACAACTCCGAATCGACTTTTCACCCGAAACGTCCAGATTTTTGGAAAAAAAAATCAAAATTATAAAACAACATTTTGAAATTTAATTTTTAATCTGCTAACCAGAATGCTTTGAAATGTTGCAGATGTTTTAAGGCTATAAAGAGCATCATAAATCTTTAGTCAAAAAATATTTGCTTATCCCTTCCAAAAACTTGATGACGTCAGCTCAAAAGTTTGTGGAATAAATCATATCTATAATGTACAAAATATGATGAGTCTGTACTTGTGATCTATCACTCCATTCATATTTTTTGGATTTGCATATACAGGGTGACTCAAAAAAATTAATGAATGCGTAAATTTATTTTACTGATTTACTCAGAAACTACAAAACCGAATGCTTTGAAATCTTGCAGATGTTTTAAGGTTATAAAGAGCATAATAAATGTTTAGTCAAAATATATTTGCTTATCCCCTCCAAAAAATTGATGACGTCAGCTCGAAAGTTTGACGAATAAATCCTATCTCAACTGTAAAAATATGATGAGTCTGTACTTGTAATTTATCACTCCATTCATATTTTTTGGATTTGCATATACAGGGTGACTCAAAAAAATTAATGAATGCGTAAATTTATTTTTTTGATTTAATCATGAACTGCAAAACCGAATGCTTTGAAATCTTGCAGATGTTTTAAGTTTATAAAGAGCATAATAAATGTTTAGTCAAAATACATTTGCTTATCCCCTCCAAAAAATTGATGACGTCAGCTCGAAAGTTTGCCGAATAAATCCTATCTAGACTGTACACAATATGATGAGTCTGTACTTGTGATTTATCACTCCATTGATTTTTTTTTGGATTTGCATATACAGGGTGACTCAAAAAAATTAATGAATGCGTAAATTTATTTTATTGATTTACTCAGCAACTACAAAACCGAATTCTTTGAAATCCACTGCGAAAAAAAAACATAAAGGCATGCAGTCGTCACGTTTCCGACAGCGAGGGAAGTACTGTCTATACTCTTTAGACCAATTTTTTCAACTGATCTACCCAAGGTTTCTATCAAAATTCAGCTCTGTCCGAGTTTTTGATATTTGAAATGTCTATTTTGACCGAACTATATTTTGTTGTTGACGGACAGCAGTATTAAAAATACTGTATTGCTAGAGGTTAGTTTTGCTATCGTTAGCGTCTATAAGAATTATACTATAATTCAATGAGGAATTCTTAGGGCTTAAATTGAACCAATAAAATCAGCATTATAAAGTTTGGTTGCGATTAGTTACCGAGTTTTGAACTTATGAAATATGTCATAAAAACGACTATACTCTAAAATAAAAATTGGTCTACAGAGTTTAGACAGTACTTCCCTCGCTATCAGAAACGTGACGACTGCATGCCTATTATGTTTTTTTTCGCAGTAGATTTCAAAGCATTCGGTTTTGTAGTTCCTGAGTAAATCAATAAAATAAATTTACGCATTCATTTTTTTTTAGTCACCCGGTATATGCAAATTCAAAAAAATGAATGGGATGATGAATTACAAGTACAGACTCATTATATTTTGTACATTCTAGATAGGATTTATCCGGCAAACTTTTGAGCTGACGTCATCAGTTTTTTGGAGAAGATAACCAAATATATTTTGACTAGAAATTTATTATGCTCTTTATAACCTTAAAACATCTGCAATATTTCAAAACATTCGGTTCTGTAGTTCCTGATTAAATCAATAAAATATATTTAGGCATTCATTATTTTTTTGGGTCACCCTGTATATGCAAATCGAAAAAATATGAACGGAATGATAAATCACAAGAAGAGACTTATCATATTTTGTACATTTTAGATCGGATTTATTCGGCAAACTTTTGAGCTGACGTCATCAAATTTTTGGAGGCGATAACCAAATATATTTTTACTAAAGATGTATGATGCTCTTTATAGCCTTAAAACATTTGCAGCATTTCAAAGCATTCGGGTTAGCAGATTCAAAATTAAATTGCAAAATGTTGTTTTGTAATTTTGATTTTTTTTTCAAAAATCTGGACGTTTCGGGTAAAAACTCAATTCGGAGTCGTAAACTACATGTATAGGGCTATGTTATTTTATACTATTTAAAACCCATTTACTATGTACAATTTTGAAGTGACGTCATCGCATTAGTGGTGGGGATGATTAGACAAATTTTGGTTAGCGTTTTACCATCTACATCATATTCCTAATATAAGTACAAAATTTCACAACAATCGGTCCAGGACTTTCGGAGATTATCTGTCTAATAAAAATCCGGGACGGCAGACGGACAGACGGACAGACGGACAGACAGACGGAAATGGGACACCTATTTCTTCGTCTTCTAGGGGTCATGAAAGATCGAGAAAACGTAAAAGTAGAGAGTCGGCCGACGGACTCGATTATAATACTTCCTTTGCTTACGCTCGGGAAGTAAAAATTCTTTTTATTTTTTTATGTTTCATCAGTCTTAGATGTTTAGAACAACCGTAGTTTTTGAATAATGCAGTATATTTATCCATCAAACTCTATTTACTCGTCTCAAAAATACACTTCTTCTACTCCTTATAAAATAATCTACCTTGTCACAATACAACAGTTCATTACAATGACTCAAAATAACTTTAAAAATTATTTTAAATAAATTTTCGGCCACGTTCAAGAAGTATGCACTACACATTAGATATGCAATTAAAGGTTCTCATTGTCTTACATTAACTTCGTAACTTGATACTCCTGTTCCATCAATTTCTACGAATTGTTTAATTTTCATTATCATTTAAATGTCTATTCGAAGTATAAACATTTTGATTGTCTGCATATTGTTTACGGAGTACAAGCAAAAGAAATATTGACTTTAATATTTAGTAATTACAATTAAACAAAATAAGTAAACTAATAAATGTGAAACTTCATCCAGGGCAAAACTGATCCGAATTTCCAACTGTTGCAAAAATTAAGTAAGTTTTACGTTGGAGAACTACGCAGCAAGATACCATGTTTCTAGTACATTCTAAATCTAATCTCCGTTCTCCTTTAAGTTGGCAGAGTAGAAAACTCGTAAGCAATGCATTTTATATGAAAGAATTAAACTCTAACGAGATCTAAAGAAGTTGATAGATGAATCTTACACAATTTAAGTATTATTAAAGTTTCTGTAATTCCGCATCCCTTCATATTAAAATTAAATTTATTTTATATTAAAATTCCATAGAAAATTGAATTATTTCTTGAATTTTCATAATTTTAAAATCGCGTTTTTTTCTTTTCCACTCGAGAGTCAGTACGTGAATTTGGAATTTCTTTCATCATCTGCATCTATTAGTGTTAAAATGCGATTTTAGTTTTTCTAATTTCGTTGCAAGTCGATTTTTTTTCTTGAATTTTCATGTTGCGACGAAACTTCGGTGATTGGTTGGTGGCGTCGGTAATGGTCCGGAGTTTCGCCGATAACGCCTGGGGGTGGCGTACCTCGGTGCCAAGCCTCGGGCCGACTAGTGCCGCTGAAAAAGTAACACCTAGACTTATGAGGTCACCTTCACGCCACCGAGGGTGGTGCCTTCGGTCGGGAGCGGCGGTACTCGGGTGCACCGGGATGGCTCTCAAGCCGGAGACACGAATCTCCAGGTGATTTGGTGAGCGCCCGCGGAA